GACAGCTTATCAAATACTTTATTAACTGTATTCTACGTTTGTTGGGTATGCTATAGAAATGGTTGCCAGAATACACAATTCTCCCCCTCCCAAGTATACCTGGAATGTTTGACAAGAAAGAACATTTGGAACTATAAAATAGTGTTGAAATTTTGCAGGTTGCCATGAGGTCCAAAGTCTTTACCTTAGCCCAAAAGATCTAGACATCTTTTTCATCTTGGCCTGTATCCCTGGCCTCTTCCAGGTGCCTAGGCAGTGCTTTTGGCCAGAAATGAGTTGTCTATTTATGCACCTTTTTTCTAGGGTGGCCTTTAATCTTTCTTTGATCAACACACTGTAGCAGCAGTGTCAACAGATCAGTCCTAAGGCTAAGCCTCAGGAAACCTTGCACTCTTTTGCTTAAATGCCTGCCCTCTGTCTTTGCCAAGACATGCCCAGTTAGCTCACTGTTCCTTGGATGAAGTGAGAACCACCTGGAGCACAGCAGTTACCTCAGTCATACCAATTGGGGCCAATCAGCAACAGCCATCCAATGCTGGACATGTGAGCACATGCAGCCAAGATGGCAGAGTCATCCAGCCAACCTGGGGCTGACCACGGACTCACAAAGAAGTCCAGCCTAAAGCAGCTGGACCCCATGGACTTATGGGATAAATACATATTTATTATTGTATTCCTCTGAGATTTTGAATGTTTCCCTATTATGTAATGTTAATGTGGCAATAGATAACTGATAGAATCTGGCTTTGGCCTATATCTCTGATGATTTATGTTCCACAGTGCTCTTTGTGGCTCACTCTAGCTGTAGTGTATCTGGGGTCCTTGCTATTTGTCAAACAGGCTAGGAATATTCTCTCCTCAGGGCTCTTGTCCTTTCTGGAATGGTCTCCTGTAGGCATATGCATGAATAAGACTTTTAGATTGGCTGGCAGCTCAGGTCTATGAGGAGAAAGTAACAACAGAGAATAACATAGTTAGGCCCTCTCCTCCCAGAAGAAAACAGACCCAACTCTGCTGTAAGTGAAGGATGGCACATACCGTAATAGAGGAGAAGATTTCGGGACAATGGACCTATGGCCTTCAGCTTAACAGGTATGGGTAAAGGAAAGGACTCCACATAGAGAGAATCAGACAAGAGGAAGTAGAAGATGCTACAGTCTCGTGAAAAGAAAATGTTCTTGATTTTCTCAGTAGGATTTGGAAGTTAGGCTGGCCAAGAATAATAGGGAAAGTTATTCTTGAAATCAACTGGTATGCTACCATCTAGCAAGAAAGGTTATTATGTTTACAGACTGGATATTGTACATGGAGGGCAATAAGGAGAAAAGGCTTTGATTTTTTTTTTTTTTGATACTAGTAGTTGAAACCAGGGCTTCACACTGAGATACACATCTAGACCTTGTTTTCATTTTTATTTTGAGGCAATTTGAGACAGGGTCTACTACAGTAGTCCAGGCTGGATTCAAATTTGAGATCCTCCTGGGTCAGCCTCCCAGAGTGTTACAGTCACAGGAGTTTATCACCAAATTTAGCTACAGCATTGGCTTTTAGTTCTAGCTCAACACATCACTGGGTTGTTGTCTTTGAAAGTTACTTCTTAAAACTTCTTATATAAGATTTTAATCATATATAAACATAAAAATATTCTCTGAATTGTAGCTGTCACCTTCCTTTGCTTCCTCTTCTTGTTATTATTCCTACTTTCTGATGCATGGAACTGTAAAATCTACTGGTAAGATAAATACATAGGACTCAGTCCTCTGCACTAAAATATTAGTGGGAAGGGGTTATGTTTGAGTGTATTAGCCATTAAGAGATAAAACAAACAAAAATGTCAGTGTCAGTAAGGAACCACAAAACATTTGCTTGAAATATTTTATTTTTTAAAACAAAATACGTATTCACACTATAGCATTAAAGAGTTCTCATCTGGGTCATATCAATTTTTGAGTCTAGGATTCTCTTTTTAAAATATCTGTGGGCGTGTAGTATGGAATGTATATCCTATGACATGAACTTCAATATTGTAGGAAAAATGGATGAGATGAATGTGGGAAAAACTGCAGACAATTGTTAAATCTGAGGGATAGGTATGTAGAATTCATGATTTTATTCTGTATAAAATTATTAGGAATATTTAAAAATATTAGCAATGGAAATTTAAATTTTATTTAATAACTCAGATGACCCCACTTTCTGCTTATCTCTTCCTTTCTTAAACATCCTTGTATTTTCAACTCACATAACTCTAGACGACCCTGAGTAAGGAGCGTCTATTGTGAAGCTGAGTGTTGGAGCATAAGCCTCTAATCTCAGCATTTGGGAAGCTGAGGCAGGAGGACTGTGAATTTGAGGCCAGTCTGAGGAACATAGTAAGACATCTCCAAAAACAGAACAAACAAACAGAAATATCAGTTGTGCTGAAAAATAAATACTTTTATTCTCCCCTAATTGTTGCTTCCAGATGTCGGAGGTGGTCCAGATTCTGGTTCCCCAGGAGCTGGCAAACAGGTGCCTCTCGTTTTCCTCTCCTTTCACACTGTGACAGACATTTCCTGCGTCCCTTCCTGCAGCTGGAGTCTAATCCTCTTTATCCTGGCTGCTCTGACAGCCGCTGCCTCTGCTCAGCTGTCCTAATCGCCTGCTCTAGAGACAGCGCTGCTCTGCCTTTCTGGAGTCACTGTGACCAGGACTGATCTACACAGGGTGTGGACTTAGGCACAAAGGGCTCAAGCATAAATGACAACCAAAAACAACATTTCATTGAAGAGACTTTGGGGAGCATAAGAAAACTGGAAAAATTGGAAGCTGATATTAAGGGAAATCATAGAGAACAGCATTGTATTAAAATTTAAGGGATGATAGGAAAATGAAGATTATCTTTATTATTATTGTTGACAGTGAAACTGGGAGGAAAAATGTAAAGAAAAGTTAATTCTGTATTTTCTAAGCTGTACACTGTCAAGCACGGTCATCGCCTACAGAATAAAATCAAACTCACCACCATCACCCATGAGCGGAGCCTTGCCTACCTCTCCTGCATTCCTTACCCAGCCGCAGCCACATCAGTGCCAGCCCTCCTCTTCCTCTCGGGCACATGCAGCTCCGGGGTCCGCATCTTGTATGCTCTGCCTGGGCTACTTCCCCAGGTCTCATTCGATTTGTTTCTGCTCAGCCTTCTGATTAAATGCCACTTCCTCAGGGAGGTCTGCCCTGACTAGGCCCCTCACTGCTATACTGTTATCTTTCTGTGAACACACAGCACATACTTGCTTACTTTTTCCACATCAATGTCTCCCATTAGCGTAGAAGCTCTGGAAGGGAGAAGACTTGGAACAGCACCTGCTGAACTCTCTTCAAATCTGTATTAGTGTCTGACATGAGTGGGTGCCAACAATGAGCTGTCTGAATGACTGCATGCATGCATATCCGTGAAGAGTCACAGTTCTGGAGCCAGCTGTGGTGGTGCATGCCTGGAAGCCTAGCACTCTGGGTGACGGAGGCATAAGGCATTGTATTTTCAAATACAATAACAAAATCTTTATTTGTCTAATATCCTTGGGTGAAGTTATTATAGAGTAGACAAGGATGAACTTTGTTTAAAAGTGTCATGTGAATGAGGTAAAATAAAATTATTTAAATTTTAAGGAAAGACAGGTTATATGTGATTGCAAAATATTAGGCAGAGGAAGAAAAAGAATTTTCTTTGATGAATTTTATGGTTTTTTTCTTTTAAATAGAAAGGTATATGAGGAAGATAAAATTTAGACAAAAGCTGTACTTAAAGGGAAGGTAGCTTATTTGACCTACCCAAGATGAAAATGCTTTTTTAAAAATCAGCCATCGCTAGACTTTAGTTACCACTCCTCACAGTCTACCAGGGTGAAGAGGTGGGGTTTGATTTCCTTGCTGGCCACTGTGCTGGCTCTAATCCCTGAGCTTTGGGTAGCCCAGGGGTGCCCAATCCTATAGAGAGCTATGCTTCCAGGGCAACGTAGTCTGGGGAGACAGCAGTGTCTGGCTTTGGAAAACGTGACAACAAAATCAAAGTACGTGAGTTCAGGCCCATCACCAATTTAATTTCCCCTGTGCCTTCCTTCTTTCTACCTGTGTGAACTGGGGAAGTGGCACCTTGACCAGGAATGCCAACCAGTTGTATCTCATTGATGGCAGTGGAAGGGAAGACACATGAAATCAGAGAGATGTAGATCATCCTCAAATCAAAATTTGATGTTAACACAACTCATAGAAGCAACATTACTTAGTTACAGCCTTATTTTAATCATGTTTACCTACTTCTAGTTTCAGCCAAATGTGTACCACTTCCATGCATTTGTTCATCTTTTTAAAGAACCAAGTTAATAATGGCTAATGTAATCTCGCTAATCACAGATTCTATTTGGATGTCAGTTTCGAATCCATAGTTTGGAGAAGAGTTTTCCTCTAGTTGAAGTCACAGTATGTTTTGAACAATGTTCTGAAAGGAATTTTAAATATGAGTGGACAATCATTGCTCAGCTAGGTCAGTAATGGATCACTTAAACAGTCTTGTGGTCTCTTGCTTGTTTCAGTATTTCTGAACACTTAGACCTAATAACAAGAAGCCATGAAGAAGAAACAGGCTCATTCGTTGTGTGCTCAACATGCGTCAGACATGCTTTGAGTAGATTCATCAGGATCACTTACCTAGCAAGTTGCTGGGCCCAAATTTGAGTCATGGGTGTCTCATTCTATTAGCTGTGGCCTGATTCCTACACTGTAAAGTGTTCAGGCTTTGTGCTGCCACATATAGGCTGTTGGGTGTATGATATTTCTGCATATTCACTTGCTACACATCAACACCCTGAAGTTCTTGCATTTTATTGTCATCTGATTTGTTTTACCAGCAGAGGAAACCTTGTTTAGAAAGAACTTCTTGACTACAGGCTGAAGCATGGAATTACCCATGGAATAGAACACCTCATATTTTTATATTTTATGTAAAGGCTAGTTTGACTTGCCTGATGTGAGGTGGGCTCCTCCTTCAGATTTTCGTCCAGGTCCACACCAACTCTGTTAAAGAAAAGAGAAAATCAGTAAATACTCTGCAGCAGGAAGATGAGTTGATCTTGTGCATCAGAAGGCATCATGCATATCTAAACACAGACATGGCTGAAAACCATCCTGCCTTCTTTGAATCACAAGAACCTCAAGTGAATCAATAACCTATAATGGTTATCTTTCCCTTCCTAGTATGTATGCTGACATGCACAGTTTAGAGGAAGAGCTCATGGTTTCAGAGGGTTCAAATCACAGCTGATTGGCCCCAAGGCAGAGATCTATGACAGAAGAGGTGGAGTGATGCTACTTACTTCATGGCCAGGAAGCAGAATACTCAAGTGCTAGTGACAGCTGTCTCCTCTAAAGTCATTGCCTCCAGTGACCCACCATCAGCTGGGCCTCAGCTCCCAACAGCACATTCAACTGTGAACATTGGTGGATTAACCCACCTGATGAGTACGGTGTCCCAATTATCCAATCACTTCTCTAGAAGTCTCTTAACCCAGTCAAACTGGCTATTAAGATTAATTGGCACATGACCAGAATAACAACTTGCACAGCTGGCCTCAGTAAAGCTAGAGAGACTGAGCATCAACTGCAATTCCCAGCAGTTTCCACCAAGAGCAGAGGCTCTGAGAACCTGGATGGGGGCACCAGGACAAAGACCTCTGGGCCCTGGACAACAGGAATCCTGGGGTGAGGATGTTCTCATAGGCCCACGCTCCCCAGGACTGCGGGTGCTCAGATTGGAACAGGCATTCTCGAAGCAGAGAAAAATCAAACCTTTGTCCAAATTTTACCAAGACTGTCCAAAAAGAGGATTCTCGTTATAGAGCGCAAGGCTTATAAAGTTTGGCATTGGGGACTGTCTTTAAAAAAATACTAATATGAAATTGGGATGGAAAATGACTCTTTACAAGAAAATAAATTACAAAATTACATATTTTTAAAAGCTAGCAAATATAATGTCATCTCAAAAGCAAGGGGAAAAATATACAGCATTTTAATTAACTGTTCAACAGACTTCTAGAGTAACCATTTGCCCTGTAAATTTTGCCTGCATACTGTAATACTCTCTTTATATGATAATGATTTTATATTGGAGAGAATAGAAAGATAAAGAAGGCTTTCCTCTAGCAAGATTGATCAGAATTATTGATAGCCGAGAGGCATGAAAAGCAAGCTTCTCTACCCACAGCCCTGGTTGCTGTGTGCAGCACTGTAATGTTCTGCAAATGCAAGATTTCGGATAAATTTCACTTCACGCAATTTCCATAAACAACACCCAGCGCACTTATCAGTGTACATGGTTTCTCACTAAATATATTTCTCAATTTCTCTGTTGACGGCATCAGCAAAACTGAATTTTACACATCTCATGATTGGAAGAATTTTCCACAGTGGCTTCTGGCTCAGTGCATTTCAAACCTTGTTTTTCCTCTACTTCCCACAGACTTCTGATGCCAGGCACCAAAGGACACATTCATATTTAATTTAGTCTTTGTGCACCATTTCTATAAGCCTTTCCTACGCTGGGATAGCCAGCAGTGACTGATCCTCTCACAGAAGTGACGATGGCTCACATAAATGTATTCCATTCAACACAAACTAAATGCATTTCCCAATTCGGCTTTCCCTGAATTGGATCTCCAAAATGCCCGTAGCTATCTGGCCAGAGGAGAAATATGAGAGAGGGGAAGCTGCAGTGGAAAGAAACAGCAGTTAAACCTAACTTACTGTTTAAAATATATTCTTCTGCAATTCTTACAAAAACACAGGATCCTGAGAACACAGTGCTGGGGCTCTTCCCAGGGCCCTGGAAGGGTCGAAGGAAGTGAGCGGCCTTAAAGCTGGATTTTCTCCCCTCCCAGCGAATGAGCCTCTTACTGGGGGTGGCCTGGAGGAGGGGCTTGTGGTGCCTGATGCCTGGCTCACGTGCCAGGAGAGCCCTTCCTGTGAGGGCCACCTTTGCTAGACCTCTCAGGTCTTGTCCTCAACTTCTGCCCCTCTCAGACCTGTCTGCAATCACCCTCCAGGCCCGTGCACCAGAGAAGGGGAGGCAAGGCCAAAAGCTGCTACTCAGGACATGTGTGAGCCTGTGACAGGGGAGTAGTTGTGATAAAGACACAGCCTGTTTAAAGTACCTCTGACTAAAAAAAAAAATAGACTCCCCTGTGCACATCAGCCCCATCTATCTAACCAGAGGTACAAAATGAATACCTATTTATTTATTGTATGCTGAATTCTTGGCCAAGCTGAAAAAGCATTTGGACTCTTTCATTTAAGAAGAGGGAGCAGAAAGGGTTGCAAGAAAAAGGAAAAGAGCTGGGGGAGCCAAGGGAGGAGGGAGACTGGAAGGGATAAGGAGTGAGACGAAAAGAAGAGAAGGAAGGGGTAGGAGTGGAAGCCAGCTGAGCTTCGGTCTCCTCAGTCCAGGCAGTGACGATGGGGTGCAGATGGCCGCAGTTCCACAGTGGGGCCCATGTGTGGAGGTTCTCTGGCCACCCTCACTCATGGGAGTGGGCCACCTTCATACCTGTTTAATGTATCTGAGCTCTGTGGAAGACCATAGAACCCCTGTGAGGCCTTTATTGCTAAAGTAGCTCAGATCTGCTCCCCTCCCAAATTACTGGGCATCCAGCTAGCCTGTGGATTGAACTGACTGTCCTGAAACTCCTACTGCTACACTTGGTTAAGGCCAGCTTTCTAATTCTGTCTAGTTCTGTCTCATTTCATAAGAAACTCAGCAATTAAAGTTTGAGGCAGTACTGAGGTTTCCCACTAAAATTTAAGCTTCTTTCCCCAGCAGCAATCAAAGCAGGCATTTCTAATTCCAATTATTCTGGCAGCCAGATGGAACTGAGGAATGATGGCAGGGGATTAAGTTCTTCAGCTTCTTGTATGCAAAGCATCTCAGAGGCCTGGCTGGGAACAAGTCTGTACCACCTCCCTCAGTCCATTTCCCCATAGCTCAGATCTACTCTAGGTCAGTCTGGCAGTTCCTTGGTGACCTGGTGCAGTATGAGCATTCAAAGTGGCTGGAAGGAGGCGAATGTCTGTGAGAGTCACTTGTTTCCTGGGGCAGCAAAGGTGAGCAGAACAGGCGTGGTCCCAGCTTCACACACTTTCAGTTTGGGAAGTTTAATGAGAATAAAATAAAAACTACCACAGTTTAAGTGCTATGGAGGAAAGGTGCATGAGAGAAGCACACAGGAATGAGGCCTCTTGCACTTGAAACTTTGGTGCTCTTGATAAAAGTCTTGCTAAAATATATTGCTTGGCTCCCTGCCTCCTTAAACACAGTGTGATGGGGGTATTCTCATTGTAACTGAAGGTCTCAACATCACCATTAGTCCCATAAAGTGTAACACTCGTTGCATTATAATGATTTCTGAGAGGTGTTTGAACCTCTTTATGACCACATTAAATGTTCCCTGGCTACTACTATTTTTCTTTTTTTTAATTCTTGTATCTGCCAGTTCAACTGCCTTGATCTTATGGCTGCAATAATTTGTTAGCACATTGTTTCTCTGCCCTCCCCCTACCTTAGTTTTAATTTAGTATGAGGCTAACAACCTGACAGTTAAATTTAATAATTTGTTTGGGTTTATAATATATGCATATGTAACACAAAATAATAAAGTTTGTAAACATAGAAGGGCTTACAATAACGTACTATTGTTCTTTGCCTAATCCTCATTCACCCCTAGACTAACTTCCTGTTGTTTCAGAGGACAATTTTCTGCCTATCTTGATTGTGTTGTATAATACCTGATATCGATGTGTGGCAAACCCACTCAGCATCCCTTGGGTTCTGCAAACACGAGGCTGCATTTGTATCTTTTACTTTCCTGTTTGAGAAAGCAAGTCATCATGTGAAGCGGATACAATGCAGAGCTCATCTTGCTTCCCTTCATTTTTGTGCACAAGAGATCACTTACACATGATGGGCTTTTGAAAGATTATTAGAAGGAAAACACGATGTCACTACAGCTTGTGATGCCACACGTGCATACAGCAGTTCCCCAGGGAACATGGTGTGGGGATGGATTCCAACCCACTTATGTTGTGTCCAAGGCTCTTTAGTTCTTCTCCCTCAGTGTCAAGCTACTTTTCTCCTCATCTGTTGTGGACACAATAACCCAGGGTTGGTAACTGTCCTGATTTTTGAGCCCATTTATCCAGATGCTCTTCCTAGGTCTCAAATGTCCTGTCATGAACTAAAGTTGCCGTGTCCTCCAACTCTGTTCTCGCAGATGGAATCTCTATTGTGTGTCCTGGTGATCACTTCGCTCTGACTGTGGCAACCTTGGCCTGTCCTTTGTTCACCTGTCTGCTTCCACCCTGCCATGCTGTGTAAGCTAGTGCTCGGCATTACCTGCTCAGCCCCAGCTGGAATCCGAGGACTTCAGGACCATCCTGTGGTTGTTGTAGGGTAGTGACACCCAGCAGTTAAGAGGGTGTCCCAGACTGCCCTGGTTAGGAACATGGCTCAGCCTGTCACTTGCTGCACTGTCTCAATCACTTTTTGTACCTTGGTCTTAGTTTCTCTATCAGTTCAAAAGGATAAGAGTAGACCCCCTTCATGTAGGCATGGCGAGGATTAAATGAGCATGTATTTGTAAAGTGATATTTTAGGACCTAGTACAAATCAAGAAATAGGTGTTGAGGTTTTTGTTTTCTTTACTCAGTGAATTCTGTCGGTGATGTAGAGCTCAGTTCTACCTTGTGCACTGCTCATTACTTTCTTAGATAAAGTCTCCTTGTTCTAGGTCCTGCACCGAAGGACCTTCCCTTATATTTATAGCCAGTCACACGTGAGTCATAGAGTAACTAGCACACAGTGGGAACTTCAGGTCTCATGACAAAGCATCAGGTGTGTCTAAGAAGGGCCAAGCTTTCCAGAGTCAAGTTTATTTATAGTTTACTGGTAGGGATGTGGGGGGAGAAGGCAACAAAAACTGACAGGAAGATATATAAAGAGCAAAGGAAGAAAAAAGGGGTAGAGATGA